GGGGGGGGTGTCAAATGGTCCAAAACTGAGTGTCTGGTTGTATTGTAGTAAAATATTAAACAAGGCTTAGTAAAATGGAATGTTTCCATATTAATTGATTGACAAACTGTGTTATCAGGCAGTGCCATTGTATTTCAGTTGAGGGCAAACCCCAGTTAGATAATATTTTCAAATAAACGATACCTGTACATATGGTGAAATATGTATATCACATATAAATTTATATATCAAGAGCAAGTTGAAGGTCATTCCAATTAAAGCAGATAATGAATGATATGGGGCATATTGTCTGTAGGGACATTAATACCCTCTTCCACGGTCACAGAGAGAAGTTTTTTTTTACAGCAGATTCAAAGATACTTTTCTCGATATTCACTAGTTTTCTACATTTCTGTACTGTGAATTTTTGGACAACATTAACATGTAGAGTAGATATTCAATACCCCTCTGAACTATAACTCAGGCTAATGGCCTAGTATCTATAGCTTATTGTTCAAAATTAGTTTTCATTCAGACACTGGAAGAAGACACCCCATTTTACCTCACACTTGCGTAGAGATCTTTAGTAATCCCTGGCATATGGGGCCATTGATTCATGTGGCTGTTGTTCTTTGATAGCACCCTGAGTTAAACATGCTTTGTTTGTATACCGTGGCACATTCTGGTATATAAAATAATGGAGTGCTTTCATGTTAATTTTGAATGTTGTCTTCTACCCCAAATAAGTTAATTTTATCAATAAATCTATTACTTTAATTTGTAAAGCACTGTTTTCATATTGATGTATTTTTATATTCTCTGTGGAACACTGCACACTGATAAATGTATATGTTTTTGTTTTATCAGTACTCTAATTGCTGGGATTGATGCCTTTTAAATGTGCCCTATAATATTATTTTATATTACAGAAAGGGTGATTGCAATGTCATTTCCTTCTACTGGAATTATGTCAGTTTATAGAAACCCAATCCAGGTGAGTTTGTACACATGGGCTCAAAAATTATATAGTAATTTATAAGTGTATTTGAATCAAATTAACAAAGTATTTTTACAGAAACATACATTATATGACATTTCTAGACTGGTGGGCTGTTTGATTCTGAATCCCTAAGATACCAAATCCTTTTAATCATTTTATAAAAAAAGGAGCAACAGCTACATTTATATCACTGCCAAAATAAAATGTTAGCCAAATTTGGCAAGTTGGCCTGCCAAATATGCACTAGCACTTTCTAGTAGCACCCAGCTTAAGTATTGTAAGTTGTGAAGTTGAAGTTAAAGGTATTCTATTTGGGATAAATCCTGACACCAAAATGTAATTTTCTTCCAGAAAAAAAAAGCATTTTTTCTCCTGCGCGCAAATTGTTCAAACTTGTACAGTTTCTAATTAAATAACTTACTTCTAAATGAACTGTGATTCTCAATCTCAGATAGGTCAGTATCAAGTAGACTCCAGATTAACTTTTATTTCAGAGGTTTCATTGTTTTTATGTCTGGAAATGAGAAATATTAGACAGGATATTTAGACATGAAAATAAGACTTTAAAGCATTTTCATTTACCTGTAGGATATATGCTTTAATTGTTTAGTCTGAAACAATTACACCAACTGCTTTCAGGAAGTTGCAAGATTTTTTGACACCAAGCACAAGGACCATTACAAAATATATAACCTCTGCAGTAAGTATGAGAAGTGAGATAGTAGGTGTTCAGCGTAACTTACAAGCATGTTATAATTGAAATATTATGTAAAATTGGAGAATTAAAAAAAAAAGATTTTTTTTTCATTTAGGATGTTTGGCTTGTTAAACTTAAAAATTCTAAACCATCTTATTTTTGGTTAAACTACCAAGGTGCATTAATGAAGATGTCAAGCTGAAAGAGTTACAAGTTGAAAAAAGTTGTTGTTGACCAATAATGCCATTAATATTAACACATTGCTTAGCATTGGACAAAAATTAATGAAAATGGACAAATGTTCATTCATTCATTCATTCATTCGGTTATTTATTATTTTTAGGTGAGAGAGGGTATGATGAGACATTATTCCACAACAGAGTGGAGAGGGTCTATATTGATGACCACAATGTACCAGAACTCAAGTATGATATATTAAGATATTTTACTAAAAGACAGCTTATATAAAATTCAAAAACCATTATTTATTTCATAAAATTTCATAATTTCATAAAATTGGTAGAGGGGTGGTCTTATTGGATTGTTTGATAACTGTTGTAGAATTGATTATAGCCAGAGTATAATTATTGTCAGTCTAATTCCCAAGTAAATGATAAACATTTTGGGCTACAATATTTTTATTCCTAAAACACAAAAGAAGAGCATGTTTAGTCTGAACTACTGAAATTGAAAAAAAAAATGACATGAAAAAGTTATTAGTAATAGAGCAAAACAAAAACTTTGTGAATGAATTAAGCTCATAATGTTTGAAATATGTGTATATACACGTAAGTTTTTTTACACTTCAGGGATATGATAACCTTTGCTAAAAGTGTAGAAGCTTGGATGAATGAAGATCAAAACAACATCATAGCAGTGCATTGTAAGGGAGGCAAGGGACGGACAGGCACCATGATCTGTACATGGCTGGTGCACTGTGGCTTGTTTGAACAGGCTCACGTAAGCATCCTTTATATTTTGACCAATGAGGCTGACTTTTCTCATCAGTGGTGAAGAAGAGAGAGTGTGAGTGTTATCATTATCATCAGGAGAGTTGATACACATTAACAGACAGTTTTGTGCATTTATTGGGTATTTTTATGCCATTGGGCAATCTCAATATCGCAAGACTCTCGCCATGACCCTTCTCTCTCTCGGTCTCTCAAGAAATATATATATATATATATATATATATATATATATATATATATATATATATATATATTTAAGAAAATGTTCAGTGTCATTATGTTTGTATGCCATTATTTTGATTCAAGTTTTGATTTAAAAAATACATTTCCAGTATTGTTATTATACAGGGTTTCCTTCAGACCAAGACCATTAGGGACCATTCCCAGACCCTGTCGTACTAATTGTGGATCAATCTATTTCTGAGGCGATTCTTGCTAAATTACACCAACTTCAGCGGCTTAAATGTCTGTCACGCCTACTGAAGCTGTTAGAGGGGAATCAATTATCGTTTAGCAGCTTCAGTAGGGGAGCCAGACATCTAAGCCGCTTAAGCTGAAAGCAGTTAAGCGAGAAACCCTTCAGAGATGGATAGATGTTAGATCGCTTAAGCTGAAAGCAGTTTAGCGAGAAACCCTTCAGAGATGGATAGATGTTAGATCGATCTAGGTATGGGAACCCAGTCTTACAGACCAAATGTCAATCCAAAATATCAGACAACAGAAAGACCATGATGCATGTTGAAGTTAAGCAGATGTCTTGTTATGGTGTAAATACAACTTGAGATTAATTTAAATTATTTTCCAGGAAAGTCTTGATTATTTTGGAAGGCGACGGACTGATCAAAGTGTAGGAAGTAAATTCCAAGGTGTTGAAACACCAAGTCAGGTAAGATACATTGAAAACTCACTTTTCTTTCATTTTCCATTCATCTTGTATTTATAGTGATAATACTTAGTGATTGTATCTAGATATTTTGAAAATGATGCCTCTATCTTTTCAATACTTCAGTGTGAGTGACAAATTTAATTACCATTATTTAATAATACGTAGTGATATCAATTTCAAAGGGGAGATAGAGTTTATGAAAAAAATAGGCATTATACCATGAAAACTGAACTGTGTATACCTAGATCAATTTTGACCCTTTTCCTTTTTTGGACCTTTTCCTGGCAAAAAGGGTGGTATATTTAAACCCCCCCCCTCCCCTCACTACAGGCCTGAGATTACAGATGAAGTACAGTAGATATCACAGAGATAGATAATTCCAACTTGTAATATATTGATATGAAGATTCCAAAGTTTGATATGATGAATTCTTACAGAGCCGCTATGTTGGATATTTTGAAAAAATCAAGAAGAATTTTAATGAAGAGCTCCCTCCTGACAAGAGATTAAGAATGACGCAGATCAAAATCACTGGAATAACTGGTAGATATTTATTATAATTGAGATTACATAAAAAACAGTTATCAGTTTTTAAAGAATTAAATTTTTTATCTATAGATTAAAATAAAATATATTAGAATTCAAAGAGATATAAATACCTTTTCCATTGTGTTGAAGATGTCACTTTTTTTTCAACAGAATTACAAATTTACAATACAAACAGCATAAATTGGGAATCCTTGAAAATTATCAAGGAAGGCAAAGTCAATTCACTTGTGTTTGAAATTGTTTTTAGGCTTCAAACTTGAGAGTATTGGGTTATTTTTAATTGCAAAAGAACAGATGACGATCAAAATGATTGTAAAATTAATGTAGTCCAACATTTTTTATTGGAAGATGCAGTATACTTATGCTGGTAACCCAAAGAAGGCAATGATATTATTAAAATGGTATTTTCTCATCATAATTTAGGTGTGGGAAATGGAGATGGCTCCGACCTCAGTATGATGCTGTTCAAAGACAAGGTGGAGAGATTTAACTGCCAGTTTGGAACCAACACAAATTGCAAAGTGAGTCTTTAATAGATAAAAGACATAATTGTTATTTGGTTGTATTATTGTACCACCAGCGTAGGCGCTGGCGGTACACATGGTTTTAGTCCCGACCCGTATGTTCCGCCGGCTCCTGCGGCTCCGCCGGCTCCTGCGGCTCCTGCGGCTCCGCCGCCAAGTCACCGTTACCGCTTCTCCTCCTAGACGGTAAGGGCCTCCATACCCATCTCTTGGATTTAGGTCACCTATAATCTCAACTCGTTCCACGTAAAATTTGGGCTTTGTCGGTATTGGGGTCTAGGTGTGGCACTCATTGCAATGCACCCTTGTCCAAAAATGGCAAAATTAAATGCTAATTATCTCCCCTACAGAAGGAATTATGGGAAAAATTTCTACAGACAGCTTTCCAAAAGTCATATGTGTAGATTTCAAATATGCCCTTGGATTTGACCTTTGACCTTTATTTTAAGGTCAAACGGGCCAAAATTTTCAAAAAAACAAAATTTTTGCCGAAAAAAAAATTATTTGCGGTCTTATTCAGACACCACACAGACTTAACTAATAATATTAATGGAAAGTGTTACCCTTCAGGTCATCTTTCATCTCCGTGAATTTGGGGTCAATCGGTGCATTTTCACGGGAGTAGCGGCCATAAGATATCGAAACTGAAAACTGTCTCTAATTCGGGAACCGTTAATGCTAGACACCCATTCTTTTTTGCATTTTGTAGAGCATGTAAAGCCCAACACTGGAGGTGGTCTCCGTTTTTTTGTATTCCATACGGTTTTCGAGTTACGCTGTATCAAAAAGTACATATTGGTGGTGAAAGCAAAATGTGCAGTACGGTAATGGATAATAAATTTTGAACTCCGGAAAAATAAAACATAAGGCTTGGCAAAGCAGACAACTTGTGGTCAAAAATGACATTATTTCATCAAATTTGAACATCTGGAACTTCAGAGCACCTCCCATTTCAAGAATTTTGACCAAAATGACCTTTTCTTTATTTTAATTAATTTTTTCTGTAGGAAATTTATGGCACATTATGGTAACTCCAAAATTATAACATTTAGTCCCTTATATCTCCAAAACTGGCAGAGATAGGTCCATAGTTACTATTGAAGTTGAATAGGAAGTCATATACTGGCAATCTAAATGTGACCTTAAAATTGACCTTTGACCTACTTTTCACCATGAACTGAACTTTGCATAGTTTGCTTCCCCTTTATCTCCAAAACTGGCAGAGATAGGTCCATAGTTACTATTGAACGTGAATAGGAAGTCATATACTGGCAATCTAAGTGTGACCTTGAAATTGACCTTTGACCTACTTATTATCATGAACTGAACTCTGCTAATTTCTTTCTCTTTTAACTCCAAACCTGGCAGAGATAGGCCCATAGTTACTATTGAAGTTGAATAGGAAGTCATATACTGGCAATTTACTGTGACCTTGGAATTGACCTTTGACCTACCTTGCGATGAACTTAACTTTGATTGTACCATTTTTAGTAATATATATATTTTTTGCATATTTTGAAAATTCTTGTTGATTGCATTTTTACAGCTTGTCAAGCACAAGACTGGTGGCTGTGTTCCTTATTTTGTATATGTGGGGGTCTATATGAATGCGCTTGCTCCAGCTGGTGGTACAATATTCGGAGGCGGTATCACCTCTCTGATCCTCTAGTTTTAAATAACTAATGTTTATTGACCAGTCTTTTCCTTGGATCAGACAGTATTTTCTGTCAGTTTGCAATCAAGATTTGAATTTTATTCTTGTATATATTTCTCAAGTTTTCAATTTGGCTTTGTTTTCAATTCTTTAAGTAGTTTCAAAACTATCATATCAAAAAGTGGGAGCTTGGAATAGTGTTGGCCATCCTGTTGCAAAGAAAATTTGCCACAATTTGGGGGGACTCAGCAATAAATGTACTTGGAGGGGTTTTTTTCCTGCATGTCTGTGAGGGAAATGACCAGCAAACACGTCACGTTGGTACCACATGGTTAATCCATATATGACGTTATAATGTAGTAACAACATGCTGGCCACAGGATCCGAATGTGACGTGTTTGCTTGGTGGGCTGAATTTGCTATTTCATTTTGAAAAACCTGTGGAAACGCCATAGGTGGAACACTTACTGTATAAGTGTTTGGGTAAGTTCCAAACAAAGTTCACTGAATTTAACCTATATTCTTTTTATTTTGTCATCTGAAACATATAAAGTAGGACAATCATATATTTTGTGTATGGCGTTTTTGTGGAGAAGAAGCAAGAGATGAGTATCATATTATTTGTTATATTTCAGCTCACACATGTGCAAGAGGAAGATTTCATTTCAATAGAGCTTGAAGATTCTCCTATTCTGGTTGGTGACATCAAAGTCAGATTTACCTCTACTGCTGTAAGTATAGGGACAAGGTTAAATATCTTTACTAAAGAATTTTAAATGCACAGATATATATTTTAAATGATGGCAGGATGAAAAACTTATGCAAATGATTGATTTGTTTCAAAATAATTTAGATGTCTTTTACAAATGAAATAGCAAATGAATGAACCTTAAGTTTATGATTTTAGAATTATCTTTTTATTACAATGAAACATAGGTGACACTTTTCAAGATGTTGAGTGCTGATGCTTCAGTACTTGAAAACATGCAACCTTGTATTGATAGAAATTTGCACGTATAACAAGCAAAATAGCAAAGATGTCAAAAAACTGACTGGTGATGATAGTGGGTGAAAATCTGTTTTTTTTAACAATGTATCAAAGAAAAAAGTCTTTGCTCTGATATTTGTGAATATGCCTCATTTTCCTTTACAGTTCTTCAATAGGTATTCTTATAGTGTCTCAGATAAAATGATTAATAGAAAAGTATTTATTTTTACTACATCAGCATCTCTCTTAGATAGACTACTTCTAGTAGCTGTTGGATGTAAAACAAAAGTAATTGGTTTTCTTTTTCAGAAAATACCAATTGGCTATGATAACTGTCCATTTTATTTCTGGTTTAATACATCCTTTGTAGAGGATAACAGGTGAGGAGGCGCATGTCATGTTATTGTGAATATTATATGGATGGTCAGCAAAATATATATTTTGTCTTTCATGGAAAGATTGCTCTCTCAGCATGTGGAACTAATAGCAGACAAATGTTTTGGCTTTAAGGAAAACATTGTAACAGTTGTCAGTTTAACAGTAAACTCATCACATATTTTATAGCTTTTAAAGTGTAAGTTAATTAGATACTTTTGTTGTGAATTTTTTTAAAACAAAATTTTATTATGCTATTAAAATAAAACATGTTATCTTATCACAGAACCTTGGTGAGAAAAATAAATGTAGGTGACATATAAGAAAAAAATACACAAGAGTTCTTCTGGGTCATAGTGTTTAATCTTTCTCCGGACTTTTTCTGTTGATATTGATAGCAAAAGAAAGACTCAGTTTTTCAACAAGGAACCAAGAACTTTTGTAACTTGCTCATGAAACTAACTCTAGTATAAGAAGTTGATATCTGTCAAATCTTAATTTTGCTTTTCAGATTAAAATTGCTCAGGTACGAGATTGACAATCCACACAAAGAGAAAACATGGGATGTTTTTAGGGAAGAATTCACCATTCAACTTTTCTTTGAGGGTGTAGATGACTTATGAAGATGCTTGCACTGTTAATTATTCAAAAAAGTCCATTGCCATGACAACCACTAGAGATTGAAAAGCTCGGTGTGCCCACCAGCATTGAAGAGACAGCCAGCAGTCACATTTCCTTATCAAATCCTGATCAATTCTCATGATTGTTTATTAAGATGGTATATATTTGATTTTGTTAATCACCTCTTATTTATATTCAGAGTACCACTTTGCAACTTATTTGATATTAGAGTATATATATATATATATATATATATATATATATATATATATATATATATATATATATGTACACACACACAGCAATGCACATGTCAACATTAATAAATTTAAACCAGAGGAATCTGAGGCACCAGATACATGTAGCTTGAATGCCATTCTAATTTTTTTTCAATCTGCCAGCAATCTGAATATATTGCTCTTTTGGTACTTGAATGGCTTTCAGAACAAAAACAAATTTTGATTGCCTTCCAGATTTTGTTATTATAAGCATTCCTCATGTTACAATCTAACTGCATATTACACGTAATGCCCTTACATTGTATTTGTTTTGTTGCCAGTTGTTGATGTAAATGAATGTCTTCATTCCATTACATATACACATTGTCTAGTCACAAACATTCTGATGCCATATCAATGATAATATTGTCAATACTATTAAATTTGGTGACCATGATGTAATGTATAATTAATCCTGGCCACAAGAATTTATTGAAGTGCAAGACATACTGACTTGTGCAATTTTTTATGAACTCAATTTTTATGGTTACCATATTATATTTAAATTACATGTAACATCTATTTCAAAATTAGTGTTTATATTTTATTCAGAAGTAACATTATGTTATAAGTCAAAATTCATTGATTAATGGTGCTCCTATGTAAATAAAAACGATAATAGTCATTGGGACAACTTTCTTATATTTCTTTTAAACAAGATGATCTTTTGTCAAGATGAAATTCAACAGTATTTTCTAATTTTTTTTATTTAGAATCACTCTCTGTCAACTATTTTCCCCTTAAATTATACTTTAAGGCTCCGTTCACATGAAAAATCCATTTTCTAAAAATCTATTTGCAGTATCTTGTGATCAGAGTCTGTGCCCTGAATACCCCACGGCGTAATTACGGGCAGCACGAGCCAGTTACTTCCAAAGCTGTAATTAATTCTCGGCGCTGCCAGTAATTATGCCGCGGGGTATTCAGGGCATAGACCATGATCACAAGATACCACAAACAGATTTTTAGAAAATAGATTTTTCATGTGAACGCAGCCTAAATTGTGTAGCGTCTGAAGAAGAACTCAGAGTTTACTTAGTATGGAATCTTATAAGCTTGAAAAGAAACTAAAGAAAAAAGTTTTAAATTACAACTTCAGCATATTTAAGTTAATACAACTAAAATAAAGATACTTTGAGACTAAAGCTCCAATGACACTTTTGTCTCTTTGAAATTACGTAAGTGAACTGGAATTTATAATGTTGACAATACAGCACATGTCCACATAACTTTTGTATGTCTAAATTTTCTCACAGAGAAAAGAGTTAACATAAAAGAAAAGAAAAGAAAAATTAGGAGTAAATAACAATGTGAGCAGAGTAATTCACTGCCACATTTCAGAAAATTCTTAATACCTTTTGAGATCGTTTCACAAAAGATTCTTTCATCACCACGTTTCGTGCGTTCTCTGATGAGCTCTGCAAGCTTTTTTATCAGAGAAAGTTTTGTCACAGTACAGACAGGTGTGAACAACACGGTTTAATCCTGTGTGAGACCTCTCATGGGAGAGACAGAACTGTTTTCCTGTGAATAATAGATTACAGTACCGACATTTGTAATGTTTGCTGGCCAGGTGTGTTGCCTCGTGTCTAGTGCACAGTTCCTCCACTACAAAGGATTTTCCACAGTACTTGCATTTAAACGGCTTGTCAACACGGTGTATTCGCTCATGTAAGATACAGTCTTGTTCATCGCCAAATGCCCTTGCACAGAAACGACATTTGTAAGGTTGAACACCTGTGTGTATTATTTCATGCTCTAAATAGCTTTCCCTCTGTGCAAACATCTTGTCACAAAACTGACATTTAAATGGCTCTTTGCCTCTGTGGACTACTAGCTCGTGTAATTCGTGTTTTTCCTTGCTGTAGAAAATAAAACCACAGAACTGGCATTTGAAATGTTCATCTAAGTGATTGTGTGTAAAAATCATCGACTCCTGGTCCATGCTGGGGCTCTGCTCGCTCTGTATGGATACAGGATTTTCCGACTGGTGGTGTTGCTTGGAGACCTTGTGTTTTTTCATGTGCGCAGAATATGTGTAAACAGTTGGAAAAGTCCTTGAGCAAAATTTGCACTGAAAACTCTTATGAATGCTCTCGTGTCTTGTACAAAGAAACTTCTTGGCAAATCTCTCATCACAAAATGTGCACTTGTATGGATGCTCCTCCGTATGAGTTCTCTCATGGCGAAGGTAAGCCTCTTTCTTATGAAAAGATTTGTTGCAGTATTGACACAGATGGACAGTGGCTGGGGAATGGTGTCTTTCGTGTTTTCTACAACTAAGTCTATTAACAAACTTTTTCTGACAAAAACGGCAAGCATAATATTTTCTGGGTGCTTCTGGATGTATCAACTCATGAAGAATACAACTGGTCTTTGTAGTAAATGTTTTAGGGCAGTACTGGCACCTGTAGGTCTTGCAACTGGTTGTGTGAATTTTTTCGTGTGATTTCAGGATTGCTTGATCTCTAAACTGCTTAAAGCAGTATCGACAACTTAATAACTTTTCATTACTCCGAGTGATATTCTGTCCTGCTTTTCTGTCACTTTTCATCCTTTCAGGATTTTTGTCACAGAGAGTTCTCTCATGGATTTGACAATCCTCCTCTCCACTGAATACCTGGACACAATACCGGCATTTGCAAGAATTTTTGATGGTGACTTTGGATTTTTCTGTGCTCTTCTCTGCAATAGAACCTGGTGTGGAAGTCGCAAGAGAGTGAACGTTCTTGATTAAAAACACAGGTTGTGGATCAGAAGCACCTTGAACAACATCCACTCGGAACTTCTTATCTTTTCCATCACCCTGAGCATTGGTATCCTCTTTCAAACAACTAGTGCCATCTGTCTTTACACTATTACTATTTGTAGCAGACACCATGCTATCACAGGTTTGCAGGTTTGGAAATGGCATTCTAATAAGCTGGTGGTTTATTACAATCTGGTCTCCATCCGGGTCTGGCTTGATAATTATATTGCATAAATCCCCCTGTCCTTTGACAAGAGTTGATGGCTCTTGATCCATTGAATTGCCCACTTCCGCTTTGCTCACACATCTTCCCAAGTCATCCTTTTGTTTGTCAGTTCCCTTATTCAGTGATGTGACCCTTGCTTGTTCATCTACATTGCTACTGCTTTGTGGTTCAAAATCGGGATTCTCCGGAGAGATACATTTTGTGCCGTTTTCCTGGGACTTTAAGCCTGTGCCTGTGAAAAGAAAAAAGTGATTGAATATTTCCTAACTTGACCTAGCTGAAAGTCCCACATCAAACAGTAAATCAAAACAACTACAATATTTTAAAGATCTGAATAAAGGGAACCGGAGAANTTGATGGTGACTTTGGATTTTTCTGCGCTCTTCTCTGCAATAGAACCTGGTGTGGAAGTCGCAAGAGAGTGAACGTTCTTGATTAAAAACACAGGTTGTGGATCAGAAGCACCTTGAACAACATCCACTCGGAACTTCTTATCTTTTCCATCACCCTGAGCATTGGTATCCTCTTTCAAACAACTAGTGCCATCTGTCTTTACACTATTACTATTTGTAGCAGACACCATGCTATCACAGGTTTGCAGGTTTGGAAATGGCATTCTAATAAGCTGGTGGTTTATTACAATCTGGTCTCCATCCGGGTCTGGCTTGATATTTATATTGCATAAATCCCCCTGTCCTTTGACAAGAGTTGATGGCTCTTGATCCATTGAATTGCCCACTTCCGCTTTGCTCACACATCTTCCCAAGTCATCCTTTTGTTTGTCAGTTCCCTTATTCAGTGATGTGACCCTTGCTTGTTCATCTACATTGCTACTGCTTTGTGGTTCAAAATCGGGATTCTCCAGAGAGAGACATTTTGTGCCGTTTTCCTGGCACTTTAAGCCTGTGCCTGTGAAAAGAAAAAAGTGACTGAATATTTCCAAACTTGACCTAGCTGAAAGTCCTACATCAAACAGTAAAACAAAACAACTACAATATTTTAAAGATCTGAATTGTAAAAATTGTGTCCATAGGAAACTCTACCTCCTGCTTACGCAGTGCAAGCACTCTCTGGTGATGGTAGCTTGTAGAGACATATACCAGTGTGCGTACATTTAAATCATCTCTTAAATCATCGTTTTATTAAAAGTTAATTTAACAATTAAGTGTAATTTTCTCTTTTAAGCAAAAAAAAAAGCATTACATAATTGCTGAATTTTATTCACAACCATACCAAAGCATTTAAACACTAGTTACCAGATGTAAAGTGCTGTGAATGGGGCAACTCTACAGGAGCCTGGCCTTCTTTGCCAACATCAGCATGGTTCTCTCTCCTTAAAAAGATTACAGTGCAGCTATTTAAAAAACATTAGGACTGAAAACTTGTTTCTGTATTGCTATACATGTTAACATTTCATCAGTTTATGAGATGAAACAAAATATAAGAATAATATAATTGAATAATTTGTTTCTGTATTGCCAGTTGTTTATTTAACATTTCATCAGTCTATGACAAATAACAAAATAATATAAGAATCATAAAAGTCTTACGAAGGTAATATGGACTTACCAACAGTCAAGCAGCTTCTCTGCCAGAGCAGCATCAGAATCTGGACCGTGCAGAGCTAACTGATCTTTTAGAGCCTTCCACCTCCTCATGCTGTGCATCAAATCAACAGTGCTCTCTTGAGACTTTGAAGTACATCCCTCTCTGCTGTCAGGTATCATTTTCAGAAGTGTCTGAAATACTGAAATTATAGAAATATAATATATAATTTTTTGGGGGAATAAGTGACTGTTATTATGGTTCATTGTACAACTCAAGATTAACAATATTCACTGATTATTTATTTTGATACTCCCCTCTGAAAACTAACAATTTAAAGTACAAACATGCCAGATTCTTCTTTTCTATCAAAAAGTCATGCCAGTCCAAACGTCCAGCCATTTTAACAAGTTTTAAAGACAGATACATTGTCACAGCAACCCTTGGCCCTCAAAATTCAGTGACTATTTTTATGAGACATCCACACACTGTCTGAAAACTACTGCCCATAACTAACCTTGCAGAGCATGCTGTTTGTACGGCCCAGGGTCTGTGTTCAAAGAGACAATTTCCCCTGTGGTGACAACACCATTGGTTCCCTGTAGTGTTGATGACACCACCTCCATTTCCTCAGTAGTCCTCGTACTGACAACATCATTACCGCTTGAGGGCAACTTGTTGTATGACTTATATTGTGATACAGTCTTTTGGATTGTACTTTTCAGCAAAAGCCTTTGTTGGAGGGAGATGCCAAGCTCTTTGAAAGATTCTTCATCCAAAAGATTTAGAGATTCTTTTGTCTTAAAACCGCTGTCTAATAGGGTATGGACTGTAGACTCTGTAAAGCCTTGCACATGCAGCCATTCAATAAACGAAGAAGATACACCATCATTTTGGGGATCTTCTTCAATAAAAGAGTCTGAAAAAAATATACATAAACTCTAATTAAAATAAAGAACCTCCGCATTTATAAAAAATTATTCAAAGTCAGTTTCAAAACTTTCTACATGTTTTTAAGATAGACATTTCCCAACTAGATATACCTTCTATCACTTTTCATCATTGATTCAGTAACATTTTAAAGAAAGATTTCAACCATATTTTAATCTAAAAAGATATGCTGTTACAATCCAAATTCTTGGATCCAGACAAAAAATCCTAAGTTTTCAAAACAGTCCCATAAAATTTTGATTATTAAATCAATAACATAACAGACTACCATTATCAAAGGCCTCCTCCGGAAAATCATCCTCAGACATGGAATGATCATTCTCCTGAAGAAATGACTGATAATTGGAAACATGTCCAAGAGCCAGAGCAGCATTGTTCAGTTGGTCAGGGAGATGGTCTGCTGATGCCTGAGAGAGGGAGCCTGAGGACGTATGTGGATCTCCTGAAAGAAAGAAAGATATATATATATGGGTTTTCTTGAGCCACATAGGATGCGAATGTAAAAATCTCAGAATCAAATACAATTCAAAGCATATAGTATCAAAATGCAAAACAGCTGAGCATTCACTATAGCTCTACTCATTTATAACATTTACTTTACATATAGATTAATAGATGAACTTCATTCACTAATGAACACATAATAACAACAGCCTGCAAATCTAGATTTGTTTACTGCATGAAGATTATAAACATTAACACTAATTTATAACAGGATGAGCCAATACTTACGTATACCTTTTTCTGTCCCTGCTAGAGATGCAGACAGAATTCTGCTACACTCTCTACCCAGATCTTCAGCAGAACTTTCAACAATTCGCTCAGCACTGCTCTCATTTTTGAGCTGAGACATCGAGCGAATGGTATCAGTCTCAATTCCATTTTTGTAGAGGGTTGCTATGGCTGTGGCATGTACACATTGAGTGGTATATATTTCATCAAGACCAGCATCTTCAGATAACCTTGTCATCATTGCAGCTGGAATAAGTGATTTAATTGGAATTTCTAAGGCAAATATTTACCCTAAACTATTAAAATGTAGATATTCGTTTTTTTTTTCAATTAAATTAATAATCTCATTTTTCCTTTTTTTTTCAAATTCACATAATGATAAGATGTTTTGGAGGGGTGGAAGATACTAACAAATAACCCTTATTTTAACAGGACTTGTATATATTAGTTTAATTAAACAAATTAGTGACTCACAAAGAACGTTCTTCCCAATGCTTTCCATTTTGTACCATGGTCGCGCAGCAACTAGCTCATGCTGCCTGATCTTTGGCACCTGCCACAGGCTATCACAACCAGCACTCAGTCTGGAGACATAGGTCTCAAAAGCTTCCACAGGGTCCATAGCTCCACCAGTGGAGTACATCCTCAATAAAGGGTAGGCCTGGTCCTGTGAAGAGGATTCCCCTTTATGGGGTTGTTTCTCCTCCATCTTACAGCAAGCTACATATTTCAAACCTATGAAAATCACAAAAGGTTGTTATCATGATCATATGGATACTTTCTTATATTATTCAGTAATGTAATTTATCTATTCTATACTCTGCATCTCAAATGCTGTGAAAAAATATGCATATTTCAGACCTATGAAAGTCACAAAAGATTGTCTATGTGGATATTTTTGTATATTATTGAACTTAAATTGTCCATTACTAGTATATACTTTGTACCTAAAATAATGCAGAGAAACAAAAAACAAAAATCTTTTAAGTCATGAAATAAAAACTATTTTTTACCTTGGTCATCTCGGCACACAATAAATGTATTTTTTGTCATGGCTCTGAATTCCTCTCGAGCTTTGCTGCCAAAAAAGTAACATATGTTAAACCACACATATTGCTGCAGACGTTTTGGAGTTGACAAATCCCTGAAATAGGCTGCCAGTGTGGCCAAATCAGTCCTCCCAATAGGCCTCTTCTGTTTCAACTTTTCATGTCCAACTCTGATGTAATACTGTTTACATCTAGCGGTGAATGCAGCATTGGATGACACAAAATCGACATCTCTGATTATGTCAATATTCCTCTTCAGATCATGGAGGTGACGAGACAAAGCAGCCCTTATGCTGATCAAAGTTGATGGGTTCAAATCTTGGTCATCTTTTCCTGTGACATTTTCCCAAAAAGTTTTCAGCAGGATATTTAATTGTGCTGGTTCTATCGTGGCCAGATCTGGGCATGTGATCTCATCATTATACACTGAGGCCCACTCTCTGAATCGTCTCACTCCCCACTTTGTATTTTTTGTTGTGCTGTAACTGACTTCATGTCCTGTTTTGACTACAGTTACTCCTACATGCATGTCAGGGTCTTGGGATTCACTGGTCAGCAAACTCTTCAACATTCTTTTTTCTTCTGTCAAATAAAATGAAATTTAAAAATCAAGAGGCATTCACTGATTCAGTGTGGAAATATGGTTGTCATCTACCGCAGTCGACCTACCACACCTGGGTCTTATGTTTTTGACAACTGTTCACTGGTCAACGAGGTGCTTGTTCAAGACTTCAGGCTGATATCTACTAGTACTACCAGTGGCCTCATTAGTAACGTTCCCACAATACATGGTTTTCTGTCTGTGCGTACATTACCCTGAAAATGGTAAGCCTCACCATAGAAGTAGTTTCTCTACTTCTATGGCCTCACTGACGAGAACAATTCGGATGTTTCTTGCCCCCCCCCCCGCCCCCCCAGCCCCTGCATGTCCAAACATGGTGTCACGTAACACTGAATAAATTTTTGATTTAAATGAGCTAGATCTAAAATTCAAATGGCTTCTCCGTTCTCAAATACGCAGCCAAATGTGTTTTTCATATACCTAGCTAGAAAGATAATCATGTGTAGACCCTAGAGGTGAACAAATGCTCAGAGCCGTTCACGCTGTCAAACCTACTCCAGTTTCACCAACCTTGCTGAACTTGACAGATTGGTCAAGGTTTTTCAAATGTCCATTTGCTGTCTCCTTAATTATACAACATTAACTGACATTAAACAAAGGTTAATCAATTTAAAATGCAATAACTCCATTACGACACATAATTTTGCTTGCCTCTTTTCTCCGCTAGGTGGCAATCTTGTCTGCCAACAGGTGACAACTGCAAGATACTCCACAACTGCGCTGAGGCTGCAAGTTGTTTGTTTTAAAGCTATATTGACGTACTACTACTGGTGTGAAAGACCATGCCAGCTGGTCGCAACCTGATATATTTTTATCAATAATCGAATTGCCTGGAACGCGGCAGCGAACTCCACAAGTGTGAAAAACCGCCAGCCGAATCTGACATGAGGTTAGGCCTACCTGCTCGCGTAAGGCTGACGTAAGCACGTAGGCCTACGGCCCGACACGTGTGAAAAACAGCTTCCTATCTGACCGTTGACTATCGTCATCAGACAGCCTACCATACAACACAACACGTCTTGCTGAGATGTAATAGCGGTAAACTTTAATAAGAAAAAAATAAACAAAATATTGGGTAGACCGGCCGGGGCTAAACGCCCAGTCGGGGTCAAACGCCCACCCGCTTTTTTTCAGGTATTACGTATAAATACGCGTCTCGTGATGTTTTGTCCACTTCCGATTTCCAGCAGACTTATCCTCCATGACGGAGATGACCACAAACTAAAAAATAAGCATTTTATGATAATTTGTTCATTTTTGCCTTGTTTAGGGGCCTACTGTTATTTAGCCTTTTCCTTAACATCAGTGACACCACCTACCAAATGCACGAATTCAAAAAACTTTGTTGGTGACAGATAGGATGGTATCAGACCTCCATACAAGTTTCGATGAAGTCAGATTGTATAAAACTTTTCCCGCCGATTTTTGAAAAAATATACAAAATCTCACTTTGGGGCAAAACGCCCATGCTGATATGAGGCAAAACGCCTATAGTGGGCGTTTTGCCCCGATCACTGGGCGTTTTGCCCCCTTTCGTTTTTAAATAAAAAATAATTCTAAAAAGATGCGGAAGTGTTCTTTCATGCACGTTTTTTTATTGTATATCATCAGTTATAACACTTATATGGGGAAAAGCCAAAGCAAGTGGCTGTACTAGGAACTTAATTTTGGAAGTATCACAGTGCCCTGTCGTAAAGAGTAGAATTACAGCTCATTCTGAATAAATTTGATGGGTATTTTTATTATCTCAGTACCCCAAAATGTTATATGTTGCTTTTAAAGGCTTACTAAGTTGTCTCGTAGAAATATAATTTGATTTTATTTTGCTTTGTACAAAGGCGGGGCATAACGCCTATAGTTTGGGGCAAGACGCCCACGGTGGGCGTTTAGCCCCGTGGTGCGAGGCGTAATGCCCCAGCCATGGGGCAAAAAGGCCGATTTTATAATTTATCTATTTTTTACCTATAAGGTTTTTCTTTTGTTTGTTTCCAAAAGTGTTAGTATCAGTTTGTAGTCTAGACAGCCCTTCATAGTTAACACCCACTTTGAACGGTCTATACCTTCAGCAGGGAAAATAGAGGCTTTTCCACGGTCACGTGACTTCCGCTAAATTATCCGTGGGAACGCGAGATTTTGCGGGATTTGAAGTTTCAGGGGGAAAGTGTGGAGTGTACACGACGGACGCCATATCGAGGAGTGCTCATTTCAATCTGAATTTTCAAAGTTTCGTAACATGTTAACACCTGATTTTTTTCGAAAACACATTCATGGGAGCAGTTGGAATAGAAATTTNCTCTAAAGTAAGAGTACAGTTTATAGTTGTTCAGCCGAGCGTGGATGAGCCCGCAGTCGTGCTACAAAATTTGTTCTGGGGTATGATACTCCGAAATGCGATCTGACACACACCTTGAAAACGGGTAGATTGGTCCGATATACCGGTTAATTCAGGATCCTTAGGTGCCGAGTCTGGTAGTTGGGTAGGCCTGAAATTTAAGATAACCGCAAGTCTACCGTACCGGGTACAATGCGGGAATAGTGCAATGCCATCTCTATATTGCTACGGTATACAGGCTTACCATTAAAAAATGTTAAAAGATTCAGCTAGGCTACATGTACGAATGTCGAAAATCTGTACGATTCCATACTATTTCGCACGACCACAGTCTGCCGTAGCTCTAACGCCGTTAAGAAAAGTACATTATGAGCAGTAAGCAAGCACCGTGCGGACATCGCATGGAAAATGTAATCAAGGATTTTCTTTAAACACTACGTATTGGTACTGGTACTGGTGTATTTATTATTATCATTACACAAAGCAGCGGTCTTTTGTATACTTGAGAGAGCTACAAATGAAATAAAATGTCTTGCATTCTTATCAAAGATACATTTCAAATAAAGAATGTGCCCAACGTCTCTGATAAAATACAGGTAAAGGTCAAACTTTCAATATTTCCAGTGCCGCCTGTTTCACTAAACGTCTGTCAGTTTTCCCTGAGGAAGTCGTGGGGAATTGAGAAAACTGCACATATAACACAGGCGCTATTGATAGGCCATCAGGTCCGACAGAAAACTGCTCTTTACACCAACTCTTTACGTCAGCCAATGAGGACGCATTATCTAGTATGACACATGCGCAGATTTCCTCCCCTAACCGATCATCAGGCACGCCTATCACCACGACATCTTTTATGGCAGAATGTTGCTTGAGTATAGGCTCAATATCAACAGGAAATATTTTAACCGTCGCTCGCTTTATCATGTCATCCTTGCGGCCGCTTATCGCAAGTCTCCCGTCTGCGTCGATAACCCCGATGTCCCCGGTGCAATACCATCCAGCGTTGTCAATTACTGCCTTGGATGCTTTCTCGTTGTCCACGTAGCAGTTGGCGTAGATGGTCGGCGAACGCACGCAGATTTCGCCGCTGGTTCCGCGAGGGACGTCTCGGTGCTTTTCGTCGACGATTCTCACTTCAAAGCCGTCGAAAATCTCCTCACCCTCAGAAGCCTTGTAGGTGTGGCAACACCGGGCAACTGAAACAAGGCCGCACTCAGCAGACCCTGTAAAAACATCAGATTCCATTTACCAAATAGACCGTACAGGGTTGATATCATATTTATTGTTTTAGGAGGACGGGTTACACATTTACTTGTGTATCAGCCCTCTTGCCAAATTACCTTCTGTCGAGCCTCTGGTCCTGTGAGATGCATTCAAAAGAATGTGACTACCCACTTTAATCTTACCCTCACCCATAACCCGAGCAATAAAAGTACCGTTTGGTGATTCTCAGGTGTTTCCGTACCTTGTCAACATTTCCAGTACTGAAATATACCGTTATGGTTTTTGGGTGATCAACTGGAGGGGGATAACCCCGTATTTATGCACAAACCCCGGTGTGTGTTACAGGTGTGTAATTGAAAGCATTCTGGCGCACGGAATTATAATATGGTATAGCAGGACAGCTGGGGAGGAAAGGAAGAAACTAACAAACGTTGTAAAAACTGCAAGTTAGATTATCCCCAAGCTGGATGATATTTTTAAAGACAGAATGGAGAAAAGAATTGTCAACACCACGGAAGACTCTTTCCATCCTGCATCATCACTTTTTACGTTTTTACCAAGCAACAGTAGACTTTTAACTTTTAAAGGCAGTAAACGCTTTTTAAACAGCTTTTATCCTAGTGCAGTAACGCATTTTAATTTGATCTCAAAACTAAATTCATAATTTATTTATTTATTGTATTATTCTATTATTTTACTCTGTATATTGCTCCAAAAGAAAAATGATTTCCGATTTTTATAATTGGCTACATAAACTCTTATCTTATCTTATCAAAGACGATGGGAATTTTGGTCTGACCATTCCCCAAATCCGCTCTTTAACAAAAGTGACTCTGCGGAAAACATACAAGTGACAAAAATAACTACACACGTTGGTTGGTACGTACAGTGTGGATAAAATACACAGGATATACTTTTGAATAAATATTGTCTTTAAGAAGAAATTACTATGATCATGATTAGATGAAGATTACAAAAAAAAAAGAGAGATACAATTAAAAATGAATAGACAAACGCGTCTTTCAACAATTGGTGATATAACTAACCGTAACTATCCACGATATACTCGACGTGTGGCAATAGAGTCTGAATCTTCTTTAAGACGCCCACATCCATCCTCTGACCCCCTGTTAAGATATGTCGTAGAGAGGGCACCGCGTGGATCTCCGGGTTATAACGACGTAGAAGATCCACCATGAAATAATACATAATCAATGCTTCTGTACACATCTCCCGCTTCATGACTCCAATGACAAAATCCATGTCTCCCCCGCCGACAACCAGAGCAGAATTCACCGTCACTCCTGTCGCTCCAAACACCGACATACTAAGCAACGTCATACTGCCGCCCAGCCAAGTCACAGGGCGGTCGTTGAAGAAGCAGCTGTCTTCCGTTATAGCCGTTGAATGCAGCACTCTGCAATGGTAAAGGTACTTGATATGGGTGTACTGGACTCCTTTGGGTTTACCCGTAGAACCCGATGTTAAGAAGACGCAGTAAGGGTCATCCGGGTTTGGCCCCACATCTCCAGCTTTAATTTTGACGTCATCCCAGTCATGTCCCGCTCCTGCGGCCAAGACGCTGATCAGGGGCACGGTCCCTGCCATGGCGACGTCACAGTTTGGACCAAAGATGATCACGTCTTTTTCCTTACTCTCGCGAGATTTTCTGTCGACTAACTTTCTGCAAATGTCCACCTCTTCTTCGTTTTTTATGTACATAAACAGGGCACGACACTTGTATTGCCACACGTCAGACTCGAGGGTGCTCAGGTTGCTAAGGAGGAAAATATTGCAGCCAATGCGACTCAGTGCTAACTGAATGTTGAAGTATTCGATGCAATTTGGCGCGAAAAAGGCCACGCGGTCACCGCGAGCATATCCGCGTTGCGTCAAAGCTAGTGCTAGGGTCTTGGATTGGTTCTGGATGAAAAAAGAAATAAGTGGTTGATTAGCGATCAGAAGGTGAAATGAAAATAAGAAATATAAACCATTTCTACATATGATATATTTTTTATTAATTCTTAAAAGAAACAAAATAATTCATTAACAAAGATATGGCACATTTCAAACATTTTTTTGAAAATTGATTAAAGAAGACAGAAATAATAGTTGTTCTTCATCTTTCTCCTTTTAATTGTTTTGTCACGGCATTTTTTTTCAGCG